AATTAAATTGATACACCAAAAAAGGAAAGTGGGTCAAATAATTTGATACGGAGGGAGTAGTTGTTAAGAATAAAATAAACGCGTACTTTTTAGAAAACAAAATGCACACATTCCATTTTGTACTAATTTTGGATACAGTTCAAGACTTCATCAAGTCGATTCCTCGTTGGCTCTCAAGTGTCTTTTTAAGATAAACTTAAATAAATAATAACTAAATCATAAGTACACTACTAAATATAAATAGCTCTATATTCATAAGTCAAATATGAACATACTAAAAGTAAATATTTAAAGATCGATGGTGAGGTAAGTTTGCGATGAAAATAATTGTGATTTTTTTAATTATGCTGCATGAGTCAAGTATCTTGTTGTTAGAGCAAGAATTTGACGGTTTATGTTGCATTAAAGAGGGTTGATCAGGAAGTTAATGATACGTTTATGAGACTTAATGGTGGCTGTTGTAACGGATTTGTGTTCATTATTGTAATTAATAATGACATTAAGGCAAGAGGTTACTTCTTTGAGCTGGCAAGCATTAATGACGAGTTGACCGACGGATCGGAACCGTTACGTCAGACCGCCAATAACGGACAAATAGAATCAATGAAGCGTCAAGAATCTCCTTTTAAATATTGTAACGTTTTCTGTACATTATTAGGCCTTTTAATGTGATTAAGGAAAGTATTAAATGTATTTGACCAGCCTTTATGACGGATTTGAATTCGTCAGTACGGCCAACCTGTCAGTAACGTAAAAAGTCATCATTGAGGTTTTAATTACCTTTCCTATAAATAGGAGAGCCTCATTGTAATCAAAGGAAGGAGAACAGTCGAAAAATACACGAGTTGGCATTCTTATTCACTCACTTGTCATCTTCTTCATTGCTCTTGTTCCAAGCCCATTCTTCATATAGATTCATTTTTAATTGGTTTTAGCTTATCAAAATTATTGCTTAAACACTTGTGATTCATTGGCATCATTGTGCTATTCTCAATGAAGAGGTCGTTGAAATTATTTAAACATCCGGGCTGTGAAATTATCGGTGAAGTTTTGTAACGTTAAGGTAAATAGTAATGCTTAATTAGAATTCCAAACACATACACAATGTGATGTGTATATCGAAGAAATAATTTTGGGATGACTTTATTTTAAGAACAGATAAATAAATATGTCAAATATTTTTTAAAGTTGAGGTTGCTGTTTTATTAGACTGAAACTTTCAAAAGTTTAAATAAAAAAGTATTTAGAGTACAATAATTAAATATTGCAACAGTCAACATTTCACGTTTGCCAACGTACGAGTTTGACCATTAATATCTTTCAATCCTTATTATTAAAAAATTTCAAAAATTTATATTTTGAAAATTTAGAATGAGAAGAATTTAACAATATTTTTTAAAAATTAAATTCGTAATACATTAATAAATAAATTATAGTCAAAGTAGAATGTGTGAATAGTGCAAAAAATCTTACGTTGCAATTAAAAGAGAATGGATGTAGTATTATATAAATAGTAATTATAAATAAAAAGTCACCTAGAAATCAGGTTTTCATGAATCGCCTGGGGTTTATTGGTCCCGGATTGACCAAACATTCTTTGCAGTTGTCACCCGTTTTAACTGAGTCACTTTTTAGTCCGGATCTCCCATTTTCGGACAAAGGCCGCAGAATTGGTAATTCTGCTACCCATAATCATCCAAAAAGTAAAAATGGACAACCGAAAGCAAGTAAATTTCTGACTTCCACAAGGACACCTATTATATATCGTCCTCCCTTCTTTAATTATGTGTTTTCAATGTGAGATTAGACCAGATCAGACTTAAACAGATTAGATCAGATCGGGCCATACTTAAGCAGATCAAACCAGACCTAAACAAATCAGACCAGACTAGACTTCCATAGTTTTAAAATACAAAGAGGTCAGACATGTACCAAACAAGACCAGAGCAGTTCAGACCAGACCAGACTTAAACAAACCGGACCAGACCGGACTTAAGCAGAACAGATCAGCAAATTACAGTACAAGTAAAAACATCCTTAGTCACATAGCAATAAACATTATAAAAAGATGATATTTTGAAAATACACATTAATAGAAATTTAGTACTCGTAACATATATACATAATTATTCTATTATACTCCAAATTAAAAATCCAAAATGTGTGTGAATAGTGAAAAAATCCAAAATTCCCCTCCCAAAAGCAAGTATTTAGTGACTAAGAAATCAAGAAATGTTTTTCAAAAATATTTTTTATATCAGCTCAGTGCCTTGACTCGATCTCTTCTCCGGCCAGTCTCCGGCAGACCTCCGCAATTCAGACACGAAAAATGACACCCAACCATTTTCTGATAGCTAGCTAGCTAGAAACCTAACTAGTTTTGGAGGAAAACAGCGGAAACTTTCAATGGAAAATTTTAAAACTTTTGAAAATAAAGTTGCTTGATGATGAGAACATATTTCACCACTTTTTCCTTTTAGTTAAAGTGTTGTCATGACGTCATGTGTGAATATATATCTCATCTATATTATATACCCATGATTAAGCTGCGCCGCTGCTATAACTAGAACTTTGAAATTAATTTAATTTACAACGTAACCCGCATAGATGGCTCAATTGGTAAAGCGGTGGAAAAGTTGGACAAATGACCAATTAAGGATAGAAACTTGCAGCGATTGTGTGGAGGTCACAACTCCTTTGTGTTGGGCTAGGCCTCTGGTACGCACAGGCATAATTAAAGGTCTGCCACCACTACGATTGGTTGAGTCACCTTGATTTACAACCTTTCATGTGCTCTGTCGAGTCGGGTGTGGGAGGCCCTTGAAGTTAGGGATTCAATCTTTTAGATAAATTGAAATTAATTTGCGGTGAGAACTAGTCTATTAAAAATCTGATCGAATTGTAATCTAAAATAGTTACTCTGGATATGATATGGACTACATCATATCCTTCGTGCATGTCTTTTCCTAATTCGTAATTTTTAATTATCGGCAAGTTATAGTTGCATGCACTAATTAAAAGCCTACTTAAGAGTATTTGTCCTAGAAAGCTATAAAGCAATAAAATATTATACGGGGTATAAGAGCATCTTCAATAGTATAATGTGCACGGTGCACATGTGGCATGAGAGATAGCCACATAAATATTAGTAAATAAATTCTTTCTCTCCTTATTTTAATGATTTTATACAGATTTAGTAAGTTTTTCTCCACAATGTCAATGAGACCGTCTAAATGTTGACATTGCAGTTGACATTGCAGGGAAAAACTTACCAAAATTGTATAAGGAGAGAAATAATTTATTTGCTAATATTTATGTGGCTATCGCTCATGCCACACACTACAAAAAAATCACGGGATTGGCAGGGAATTTGGCACGGATTTCGCACGGATTTTGGCAGGGATACGCCAAATCCGTGCCAAAAACACTTTGGCACGAGCTATTTGGCACGAAAAATTGACAAGTCCGTGCCAAATTCCGTGTCAATCACGCCTTTTTTTTGTGGTGACATGTGCACCGTGCACATTTTGGCATTGGAGATGCTCTAAGACTTTGGACTACTTTTAGGTAGTTTCTATGGTACCCATAAGGTACCATGCCTTTGTTCACATGGACCAATCACGATGTTGCAGTTGAATTATTTAAATCCAAATTAAAAATGATATATTGATTTGGACCAATCATGTTGATGGTAGGTACGATACCCCATTTTTTAAATAGGTACTGAAGTTGTCACCCTTCTTTTATCACCTTTTAGATGGAATTACCTTTTAGGATGAAACTTCATGTCATAATACTAAATGTTAGGACGGAGTCTATCGATTCTCATCGTAAATAATGGTCAAAGGATCGGACATGGACGTACTTCCAACAAAGTAGAGGACAAATGTTCGAAATTTATTCTAGTTAGTTGATCATGAGTATAAATAAAAGGTTGATATCAATATATCACTGTTGAAAAGACACCATGGCACCATGCATAGATTAAAATGGTTGGGAAAGAAAAAAATGTCTACCTTAATATCAAATTGTGATCTGTTTAGCTTCAAAAGATACAAGAGGGCAAATATATCATCAGTGTCCATGTCTGTGTCCAATAGAATCCGGTAAGGCATGTCCTCCGCGTAGCAGCCGGGACCGACCAACACAGTCCCGACCGCCACTGCTACAACCACCAACACAAATCCGGCCTCCACCACCGATTTGTTGGCAGCCTTCTCCTTTCTGATCATATTCTAAAAAAAACAAACAAGTGGTATGACAAACTAATTTTGTAGCTAGGTGCGTGCAGTGCCAAAAATTATACGACAAATGTGTGTTGACTACTATAGAAATGCAAAGAGAATGACTAACTGGAGTGAATGCACTGACAAATAGAGTTACTATATATAGAAGGGAAATTTTTCTATGAATGAGTGAATCAATGTAAAATTAAAAAAAAAAAAATAGGTGTAATCATCCTGTAATCATTATTCATTATGTTATTCATGTCATAGTTGGAAGTACTTTTTGACCCTAATTAATCATATTTAAGAAAATATTCTTATTTTAAAATTTCATATTTTTTACTCCGGGTAATTTCTACTTTGAATGAGAGCATCTCCAATGTGTTAGAGCGGGAGGATAAAAATGGTAAAATATAAGGGTGTAAAATATGGCTAAACCGGATATCACTTCTAGTCACGTATAAAATACGCTTTCCTAAAAGTTTACTATCTATCCTTATCACAGTAACCGGGTTACAAGATAAAACTTTTGGGATAAAAAGAATGTGTGTGGTGTAATTTAGATACTGACAAAATAACATCGAACAAGTGATTTGTATATAAAGTAGTCTAAGTACTTTATTTTATTACTGCAGTTAATAAAATAAAGTAAGGCAAGATAGTAAGAATGAAGTATCGATCAGTCAACTCAATTCTATCGTGTTCAATTATACTTATAGACAACCGAATGTCTACAAAGATACATTCAAACCAAGCTTTACAACTTTTCCATTGCTGTGATGAATTTCCCATGGATGTTCCTCATAATAGCGCCTCCTGAGCTGCGGGTGTCCTTGTGTGCTGCATCAACATTCAGGCAAAGCTTGTGTGAAGAGGTATAATTCCATTTTATTGCTGTCTGCGGTGTGTAAGACTTAATGTGGGGCATCAAACCGTCTGAAAATAGTTCGCTGTCAAATTTCATGAATTTTTTCCCAATATTGTTGTAGCACCATTCATGGATGGTTTGTTGTCCCAGAACAGTGAGTTATAACCTTTCCAAGCATGCCACATTATAACCCCAGGTAGAATGTTCCTTAGGATTCCGGAGATAGTATGTAGCTGAATTGCCTCCAAGCGCCATTTAAGGACAGCCTGTCGTAGATCTTCCCTGTCAATTGCTCCAACCTGCATAATATTAGAGAAATAATACCATATAGGGAAAATTTAGGGCATGAGAAGAGGCAGTGGTTCTCAGATTCTTGAGAAAGTAGGCAAATAGGACATCTTGTCACAAGTTGAAATTTGAAGCGAGTGAGTTGTTCTGGGAAAGGTAGTGACTGGGTGATGTAAATTTTAATGTTAAGTTTGTTTTTTGAGGTCTAAATCTGAGTTTGACTGAATGTGGATGGGTTTGGTGGTCTGATTTGCTGGTACGCAGTTGTAAGGGTGAACTGGCCATCAGGGGAGGGATTCCATGTAAGGGTATTGTCGGTTAGCGTGGTAAGGCTTGCCCCCAAAGGATGAATTGAGCAGATTGTTTTCCAAGTTTGAGAATCTTTTGGCTTAGATTACATGTCTCTAGCACTGTATCTTTGATTCATGTGTTCTGCCCACATAGACTTCCCCTTTTGAAAGGACCACCACATTTTGAGGTGTAGTGTTTTTTGAGTGTGATGAAGGGATCTGGTGTTTAATCCTCGTTCTGCTCCCGGAGTACAAATTTTTTTCCAACTAACCCAGTGGTACTTGGTTTTATCATCCTTGTATCCCCAGAAAAAGTTTGTCATATGCTTGTGGATTATGGTAATGATTTTTTGTGGGATGGTAGAAATAGCCATGTAGTGTAGGAGAATGGCAGAGAATACGCATAAGAACCACTACTGTTCCAATCAAGCGTTGTGTGCGCATAAGAAGGGCGAGACTCAAATGATGGAAATGCATGATGCAATGATGAATCTGTAAATGTGGAAATATATGCATCCGGCGGTGTGGAGTAATGATGAGAGCCATCATATGGTGGTGGGTAAAAAAATGGAGAATCTTGATGCGAAGAGAATTGAGTGGATGATTTGAGTGGATGATTGGTGTTCCTCGCCCCGACCTTGATCTCCATCTACATCATCCTATGATGTAGATGGAGATAAGAGCCTTCATATGGGGGTGGGTAAAAAAATGGAGAATCTTGATGCGAAGAGAATTGAGTGGACGGTTGGTGTTCCTCGCCCCGACCTTGATCTCCATCTACATCATCCTCTTCCTCATCGCCATGTACTCCTACATTTCCCTCATCATCATCCTCGTTTGGGGGTTGTTCCTCCGACCATATACTGATGATGTTCCCTCTCCGGTATTGCGAAACATAGGAGTTTAACTTGTAGGAGCTTCGGGGAACGTCAAATTTTGAGGCGGGGCCGCTATAGCTTCCACGTAAATGTGCAACTCTTGGTACTCATTTTTAGCGATCCGGAAAAAATGATTCCATGACTTCTCATTGTGAATGGGAAATAGTCTAGAAGCAACATATACCGAATTCTTATATTTCGGCAATGTTCCGTAAATTAATTTAATTTCGGAAAATCCCTCACGTCTAACATGGTTTAGAACATCCTCATGTATGGTGCTAAAATCATCTCCTTCACTAACAAATAGTACCGCCCTAGGAGGTATGGAGTACTCTATTTCATCATCTTTTTGAAATGTAGAGCCTTTCCAATGTACCATAACAACAGTATCACTCTCACTAGACATTTCTATATATAGTATATATTGTAAATATTTTAAGAGAGGAGAATGCCTAAAAAGAAAATATAATGAATATATAAGAGATCAAGATGTGTTTTTGGAGTGTGTTAAAATTTTTGAGAACAAATGAATGCATTTTATAGGAGGGATTATGGCAGAAAGGAAAGTAGGAAACACATGTATAAGAAAAAAATCGTCCTTTCAATAATAAAGCAATATATTATTCATCCTTTCACATTGTTTCAGCTAGGGGTGGGCAAACGAGTACTGGAACCGCGGGTCGGGCTGAGTAATACAGGTTTGGGGCGGGTTAGGGTCGGGTCCTAATGTTAGAAAATCCAAACGGTTCGGGGAGGGGCGGGTCCTGAAAAACTTAGGAACCGAACGGTTCTTAAAATTTGAAAAAACGGGTACCCGAACCGAACCGTTTTAAAATATTATTTTAATAGTCTCTAAAATATTTAATACTAGTATAATATAATATACTAACAATACACGAAAGCTCTTCATGTTCTTGTGTTTAGACAAAGACTTCCAATTAAAGAAACTTCTCAGTCTATTAAAACTAGTTTCCAAGTCCGTATAATTAAACTCCTAAACTATTTTCCTTTATTCTCTATTCCAAATGCATCAAACTTTCTTTCTTGAATATTTTTTGTAAACAAAGACTTTTACTCAATGTGTGACATATTAATTTAATTGTCTTAATTTTACTTATACGTGGAGATTTAACAAGTTTTAGATTGTTTTCATAGACAAATATGTATTTTTTTTTTTTTTTTTTCGAAAAGAAAGATTTTATTGATAATAAGAAATGGTACAATGCCAGAAAACAGACAGAAAATAGAAAAACAGTACAAAAGAAAGATAAAATAGATTTAAACAAAAACTAAAACTAAGCCCAAGGGAATTGTTTAGACTGTGATCTGGTCTTCATGCTGTGTCGCCTCTTGTTCTTCTGAGATTTTTTATAAATCTTCAGTTGTGTGTTTAAGTTATCTGTTGGCAGACAATTATCCGAAGTAATGAACTTGGATTTGTGGCAGATCACCCTGTTGAATTTTGAGTCCCATATATCATCCTGATTGGAGATTGGTGGTCGACGCTCACTTTCTGTCGCGTGTCCTAGAAAGTCATCTGAAAAAAAAGAGTCATCTGATGGATTATAACTGTCAGATGCATCTGAGTAGGCCTGAATTAGTGGTATTTTGGGAAGGATCTCTGAAGTGTGAGTTTGTTGTTGCTCTGCGTAGGCTCCCTGAATATGAAAATTAAATATAAGTTTCGATATTGACGTGGGTTCTACCGTGTTTGTCGTGGTTTCGGGTTCCAGATGCATTGGTTCCTCCTGTACTAAAACGGAGATTCCCACAATATTAGAAAACATAGCCAGAAATTCAAGCAGTCTGAAATTTTTTGGACCCGTTGGAATCAAGATGAAACTTCCTTTTTCTTTAGCAATTTTCAGGAAGCAACCTGAATTGTTAATTTCTGAAGAAATCGTAATAGGACCAAATCTCCTTCGCTGCCCATAGTAATGATCAGATCTTGTGAGCTGAGAGATATAGTGGATGATTTGTGTAGCCAAGTCAAGATTGAAGCTAATCCTGCGCATCATAGATCTTTTTATCTCAAAAATAACAATTTCTTTATTCTTGACTGCAAATTTAAAGAGTTTAGACTCAATTTTAATTGAGTCAAACCCTTCCTCTCCAAAGAAGTGGAATGTTTCACATTCCTTAAAAATTAAATCTGGCTCAGCCCTATTTTCTTCGGTAGTGCTCAAATTGACCTTGTCTTCCGTAAGACAAATATGTATATTAACTAGTTTTTTCTTATGAATTTGTGGTCCTATACTCCTATCTTTTTAATTGGTTTATGAATGATGATTACCATTTTAATTAAGTTGATTGTGTGTTGTTTAATTTATAGATTTGGTGGTTCAATATTTTGTTAACTAATTTAATATGTTGTCTTATTCTTTTAATTTGAATAAGGATGTTTTTACTTGGACTGTAATCTCTTCCAGATCAGACCAGACCAAATCAGACCAGACCAGACTTGGATAGTTATAAAAATACAAAGACACCAGACCAGACCATATTAGACCAGACCATCAAATTACAGTCCAAGTAAAAACATCCTAAATACTATATTATGTTTACACTAATATGTAATAAATTTGAGAATTTTATAACTTACTAGAAACTTTGCTTGCATAGTCGTGTGTTTTTTACAAAAAATAGAATCGAGGACTCGGACCGAACCGGCCCGTTTCAAACGGGGTGGGTAAGGTTCGGTTCCTATTTTGAAAATCGGTATACCTGGACCGAACCTACCCGCTAAATGAAACCGACAATTCTTGAAAATTTATCGATTACCCGAACCGATCCGGATCGTGTCCACCCCTAGTTTCAGCTTTATCAAATTTATTTATAGACCAACCACTTTCAATAATTTTGAGAAAAATCTGATCAACTTTAACATTTTGTTTCCGTTTACGTGTATTTATTAAACTAATAAAATATTCCATATTACTATAGTTGTAGTTTCAGCTTTATCACATTTATTTATAGATCAACCACTTTCAATAATTTTGAGAAAAATCTGATCAACTTTAACATTTTGTTTCCGTTTACGTGTATTTATTAAACTAATAAAATATTCCATATTACTATAGTTGGAACTTGGAAGAGCCAATCCCGACAGAATGGTTTTTTTTAAAAGGTTGTCGGAATCCCCAAATCCGACAGGGGTTAGTGTTTTTATTTTACACAAAACCTCCCTCCAGTCGGAAACCCCACATCCGACTTTCGTTATTTCGTATACCTCCTGTATTTTTATCTGTCAGACACAAAAGGCCCGTAAATTCGTCATTTCCTCGTTTTTTGGAGCTTCAAATAAATAAATAAAACACTCTTATCCAAGTAAGAGAAGATTAAAAATCTTAGAGTCTGTTTGGTAGCACCAAAATCGGCTGTTTTGGTTGATTCTGCTGAAATTTATGATATTCTGGCTGGAGTGGCTGTTTTGGCTGATTCTGCTGATTTAAGAAAAAAATATTTTAAAAATATATTTTATTAATAAATTAAAGAAAAAATTATATGTAAAAATAGCTAAAATGGTCCTCTACAGTAACTTCAGCCAATACAGCCAGAAAAGTAACTCCAACCTTACTTTTTCGGCTTATTACACAATTCAGCGCGCGAAAGTAAAAGTTACATGTTTGGTGAAAAAGCTGGCTGATAAGCCTGATAAGCCGAAAACAGAGTTCTCCAAACGGGCTCTTAGGTTGATTAATTAAATTCCTTCGACTTACTTCCACACTTCTACTATACCAATGCAACGAGATGTAATAATAATTTTAATGCGAGTCTTTATATATAAGTGTAATTGTGTAAATTATTATTGGGGTAAATAGTGTATTATGTCTTTTATATTGTACTACATAACTTTTTATTCTTCTTTCACTGTACTCTTTATATTTGCATTGTAATTTATGTTGGTTAAAATTGTGACTAAATTTCATTACGAGAGCGGACATATATAGTCACAATAAAATTACGTTTTTTACTTTTTCATAGTGAGTATTTTATTATCATATGCCCACTCATTATGAAAATTTTATTTATATATGTGCTACTCCCTCTGTCTCCTATCTTTGTTCCATTTTACATTTTTTATATGCTCCATTATATTTGTCTCATATTATATTTAGAGCTTGTTTGGTAGCACGAAAATCGGCTAATTTGGCTGATTCTGCTGAAATTTATGAAATTCTGGTTGAAGTGGCTGCATTGACTGATTCTGCTGATGTAAGAAAAAATTATTTTTAAAATATATTTTATTAATAAAATAAAGAAAAAGTTATATGTAAAAATAGCTAAAATGGTCATCTACAGCAACTTCAGCCGATACAGCCAGAAAAGTAATTCCAACCTTACTTTTTCTGCTTTTACACAATTCAGCGTGCGAAAGCCAAAATTACGTATTTGAAAAAAAATGGCTGATAAGTCTGATAAGTCGAAAAAAGTGTTGCCAAACGGCCTCTTAGTAACATTTGGCGGTCGCAATCCATTTTTATTTTATTCACACTATCATTTCATTATCGATCACACAAATCACTTATCTTAATAACTATATAACTCACTTTTATCTCAATCTAAGGCGATCAAAGTAGTAACAACTACTCTGTATTCTATAACTCTGATTTTCAAAAGAAATAAGAGTCTCTTATTGGGCACTAGCTATCGCGCCTTGCGCGATAAGAAGCTAGTAGTCATAATAGATGCTCTTCAAAATTTTAAAATAAAATTTGAACATCACGATTAAACATGATCATTCCAACCATCATTACATTTAAAATTATTATTATTATTAGGATATCATTTACTTAATCATAAAGAAAAAGTAAGATACACATCTTAAATAATACGGAGTAATATTTGTAATTATCCTTAAAATAATATTATTTTAATTAGAACTCCATAACATCAACTAAAATAATATTAGTAAGGATCAAATTGAACACTTGAGTCATATTTATCAATAAATTCCAAAAATCCTCCATTTATTGAGAAATAAATAACACTCAATTCTTG